AGACGGGTCGCCCGGGGCTGATAAGGAACTCTAGGGAGGGCCTCGTAAAACCCTAGTGACTGTCGTGGGGAGAGACCCCTTTGCTGTCCTGCTGCTGTTGGAGCCGCATGTCCCGCAGACGTCCCAGGGCCGAGTGTCCTCACACTGCGAGGCGAGGGCAGGGCTCCTGCCGGAGACACTTGCTCCTTCAGGGCCCTCACGCACCCCCGCCTCCGCTGGGCGTCCCTGCCTGCCGTCGCGGCAACCACGGCCTGTGTCCCGGGCCTCGTGATGACTCACACTTCCCGTGTCACCAGTGGTGGCCGTCAGCAGGCACTTGGGGAGCGGGTCCGTGGAGGTGCTGAAGCCCAGCGCCCCTGCTGCGCGCGCCCCCGCAGACAGCCCACAGATGCTGCAAGGCCAGCCCTCCCCTCTCAGCCCTGCTCCCGCTCCCTTCCCCAGCTGCCGGTTGAAAGCTTCCCTTGACTTTGTTCCCAGTTTGTGCCGCTGACTGAGGCCGGGGCCCTGGCGGTTAATTAGAAGCGTATCCGAGGGAAGATGCTGAGGTTGCGGCTTCTTCCTCCTTGATTAACGTTCCGCTCAGACGTGCTCTCGCCACACGGAGGGGCGGCGGCCTCTTCCTGGTAAAGAGCTTCTGGAAGGGCAGAGTCGGGGTCGTCACCGTGGTGTCATCGTCTGTCTGGGACGGAGGGGGGGCACGACGCCCTCAGTCAGGCTGCGCTGACTGCTCCCCTGCACTCCCAGGACCAGCTGGAGACGGGGTTTCCCTTCACCCCGTGCTGGCCTGTGGGCCTCCTGGGCCCTCCGTGGCCCCCGTGTCCGGCCTCTGTGCCAGGGGAGGGCCGGGCCGCGCTCCCTGCCCAGTGGGGCTGTGGGCCCACTGGGCTCTGTAGGATCCGCGTGGGGCCCTGGCAGGAGCGATGGGCCACGGGGAGATGGGAGCCATGTGGGCGTCAGCTGAGCGCCCCTCCCCAAGCTGTGCCCAGGGCGCTGGTCTGGATGGACGTGGACCAGATTCAGGTGTGGGGGGTGGACGGATGCCCGTAGTGCACCCCGGCCCCCCGTGCAGGGCTGTCGGTGCAGGGTTGCTCCATCCCCCACAGCCACACTGCTGTCGCAGCACCGGCTGCAGCCCAACCGCAGGCTCCCTGAAGCTGTCCCTCTGCTTTCAGCCCTTCTGTCTCACAGGAGCCGCTGTCCCAGGGGGTCAGAGTCACACTGTTGTGTCCCCTCTGCGAGGGAGGGGCACCGCAGTCTCTGCCAGGCCAGGGCGGGCGGCGCACCTGTTCTGTAGAGGAGACCTCCTTCCAGGAACGGGCTGGGTCAGGACGGGACAGGGCCGAGGTCCCCGAGCGTCGGCCCCTCCTCTGCGCTAACCCAGAGCTCTGAGGACAGGCCGGGCTCTTCGCTGACCTGCTCTCGGCTGCGGGAGGAGGCAGTGCATTGTCGTGGTGATGTGTCCCTGAGCTCTCAGTCCAGGCTGCCCCCTGTCCCCTGTCCCCGGGGCCGCATGAGGGCCGTCTGCAGTCCCTTGACCGCTGGCCTTTCGCAGGATGCCAGGGGCCTCCGGGGGCGACCCCGCGTGTGCCCTCCCTTCCTGCTCTCTGGGGTCAGGGAGGGCGATGCTCCTGGTCAACCTGAGACACAGGCTCAGACCAGACTCCAGTGCCCTCGAGGACTAAACCCTCCTGGGCAGAGCACGGGCGCTGGAGGGGGTGGAAGGGGAGCAACTGGATTTGCGATCCCCGCGTCCCCGTTCTCTCTGCCCTGACTTAACCCTCCAGACCTGGGAGGCCAGCAGGATCGCCCCTGTTCCAGACTTTCCCAGGTGGTCTGAGTGTCTGTCCTGACTTTGGTCAGAGACAGCGGGGGATCCGGAGGCGGCCCTGCCCGGACCCACCCCCACCCCCACCCCAGCGAGGGGTCCAGCAGCGGGGTCCCAGCCTCCCGTGTCCTCCGGGCCTGCTGGAGCCCTGCTGTCCTTCCCGAGGGGCGTTACCTCAGCCCCAGCCCAGCCCCTCTCCTCAAGGTCAGCCACCAACCCTGAGGATGGTGGTCCTCCAACTTGTCAGTGGTGGAATTGCTGGAGCCTGAGAGCAGCTCGCGCGCTGGGCCCCGCCTCAGAGGGTCTGGGTTTACTAGACCCGGGACCCGCGATTTGTCAGAGCTCTGGGGAATTCCAGCATGGAGCCAGCCTGAGGTCCACGGTGGGCTTGGGGAAGTCAGAGAGCCCCGCTGAGAAGTGGGCTGAAAAGTCTTGGACGACAGCTTCACAGTCACGTGCACGGTCAGCTGGCTGCAGCCACGTGGTAAAGCACGCTTCTTGGTGCAACAGACACATCCACTTACTTACACGCTCTCTGCGGCAGCTGTCACGCTGTTGCAGTTGAGTTTAATTGTTGCCAGAGAGGCTGGGTGTCCCCCGACGCCAGGCACATTTGCTCCCTGGACCTTGACAGAAGCAGCACGCAGACCCAGGGCTGGGATGCGGCGGAGGGGTCCCGAGACCCAGCCTCCCTGACCCTGTCAGGCCTCTCGCTGGCCGGGGCCGGGGGTGCCTTGTGTGCTTCGTCCCCTCAGAGGACCCTTGGCTGTGCCGTCGTGAGTTGCGCCACATTGTCCCCCAGGTCCTCTGCCTGGTTTCCAAACGAAGACAGCAGGTTTCAGAACAACAAGTGTGGCCTGGCCCTGTTTTATAAAGTGTGCACAGCTCTGCTTGGGTGCACATTCATGTGAGCCTGCTCACAGGACGAGTGCACATGGGATGGGTCTCCCTAGAGGAAGATACGTGTCCAGGGAGCACACCCTTCAACCTCCCCTGTTTAGAAACACTCATGTGTCTCTTGCATAGCTTTAAACTGAAATGCTCATGGGCAGGTGCGTGTTTGTGCTGGGGCGTGTGGTTTCTGTGTGTCCTGATGAGCTGGCCCCGGAGGGGCAGGCACCTGGGACAGTGATGGTCCCTGTGGTGCCTGCTGGGCCCAGTGCTGGCGAGGAAAGAGCAGAGCTGAGCCCCTTCCTGTAACAGCTCGTGCCGTCACCTCACTGCCAAATGCACGCCCACCGACTGTCCGTCTGCAAGCTGTTCCCACCAGTGTGACGGGAAATGTGTGTCATTTTCTGGGGGACTCCAGTTAGGCTGAGTGCAGACACGTCCCAAGGACCCCGCGGCCAGCAGGGGCCCCTCGGCCTGAGCCCCGCCCCTCCCCCAGGGGTCTGCTCCGTGTCCACCCCGCTGGGGAGAGAGCCTCCAAGCAGGGGGAGGGTCCGGAGTCTTAAAATTCTCCTCTCACCTGAGAAGGAGCCAGCGTGGCCACGTGAGTACGTCGGTAAAGACGCACAGATTCAGACACAGTTACAGATTCACAGACACGGACACGACACGGACACAGACACAGTCACCGCTACAGGCGTTTAGATGGGGAGGGAGGTGCAGAGTCCGACACGCACGCGGAACCGGCCGTGGACACACACCGCAGGCCTTACGCTGTGCGTGCTGTGTGATCATGTGCACGTGCAGCCTTGTGTTGTCAAATCGTGGTGTCCGTTCCGATGTCACCAGTACCTGAGCGGTGACCCTGAGCCAGGTCAAGACACAGAGCCTGGCCCGAACCCCAGAAGCCCTGCCCAGTCCGTTCCCTCCTCGGAGCAGAGGCCCCTGTGATGTTGAGTGTGTGTCCTTCCTCCACCCGCCCCCCCCCTTTTGCTGAAATGCGACCTGTGAATTAGTCCTTTGACATCCGTCCTCAGTAGCTTGCCGGCTGTTCTGAGGCAGAGGCGCTCAGCAAATGAGATGCCCGACCGTCTCCTTACAGACGGGGCCTTTTCCGGTCTGCAGCCAGGCACAAGTTAGGGCGAGCGAGATGGAGCGAGGGGCCCGGGCCGCTCCTGTTTTGTATTTTCATGAAACGCCAGATTCGTTTCCCCGGCAGCCACCGCTCCCGCACTTAATTGCGCATTGATGCAGGATCGGAGGCCAGGGCGCCCTCTCTCGTGATGCCGCAGCAGACGTGCTTGCCTTACTAACGCGGAGGGAATGTGGACGCCAGATGAGAGCAGACAGGCCCCCAGCTGAAGGTGGGGGGGAATAAATCAGCCCCGGCGAAGCTTTCAAGAGACAGGAATGATGATGGATTGTAACAGACAGTAACGCCAGCAGCTTAAGCAAGACTGAAGCGCTTTCTTAAGGCCTTTCTTGGGCCTTAAATACAGAGGCCAAGAAATAATAGAAGAGCTGAAATCGAATTAATCACTTAGAGCATTTCCATGTCTGTTAAACAATTTGCCATAATCTGATTTTCCATCAGTGACCACATCACGTGGTCTATGAATAGCAGTCTGTGAATCCCCTGGCGTCTCACCTGAATCGCACGTTTCAGCCTCCAGCTGGCGAAGGGGGAGGTTATCTTAATGAGACCAGCGGGGTCACGCGGGGGTTGGACGTGAGACCAGCGGGGTCACGCGGGGGTTGGACGTGAGACCAGCGGGGTCACGC